CCCGCCTGGATGAAGTCCTGTGTAGATTGCTCTAGGAGAACCTGCTTGAGCAGGGGGGTTGGACTAGATGATCTCCCGAGGTCCCTTCCAACCCTTGCCATTCTGTGATTCTGTGATTCCCTTCAGTTTGGTAGTTCCCTGGCACATCAGTCGAGTTTAGCACCAATAACAACTGCTAAGGGAAGTCGAGTCTTTTGAATTTTTAAAGCCCAGAAGGCTTCACCTCCTGTTCTGCTTGCTGCTTTTCCCCTTCGTAGGTCCAGCCAGTGGTGAGGCTGAGCAGGCATTAGAACCATAAAACCAGAAGAGGTATCCGATTGCAGCGGTGTATGTACACGCACATGTATGTTCACAGACACAGAGTACACGCGTGGCTAGCTGCGCAGAGAGCGCAGTGCCTTTACTGGTGACACCCACATAAGCACAGACCGCTCGCAGGCACAGCCAATGTGGCTGATTGAGGCTGTTCCTCCCGGCTGGCTGATCAGAAGTTGAAGTTCACGTGTGGCAGTAAGTGCACGTGTGCGCACGCACCCACCCATGCACCCCTTTAGTAGCTGGCTCTAGAGGTTTGATCTGTCAGCTGGTTGGCCACAGGGCCCGGTCTGACCAGCTGCTGGCACAAAGACCTCATGGCCTAAATGCCATCCAGTCCTGCTTGAGGTTTGCTAGTGACACACTCAGAGGGGAAAAATAGGAATAGAGTTTAATAGCAAGGAGGACAGGCTGTGGTGGGCAGGTCCAGGGCTCGAGCAGGCAAGCATACTCACCAGTGGCTCACTTGTGCGTGACCCTTTTATTCCACAGGCACACACAGAGTCTTTGTTTTCCCCTGCTTGTTCATCCTCAGCCGTCTCGATCCCTCCCTTTCTCTGCCCTCGTCTCTGCCTTAATAAACAACCTGCCCCTAATTAGTTTTTCCTCCTTGGTCCCAGTTTTGCTACATCTGTACTCAAATCTGGTATTTCTAATACTGATGAGGTAATCCTGGCCACCCACAGTGTCACTGGTGTGGTTACCTGGGCACTGCTGGCTCTGCAAGACCTGACTTCCCAGAAGACCTACAACACTCCCATCTGGTTATCTCGGCATTTGGGTCATCGCTCACGTCGCTGCCCCTTAACGGCCGGCGAAATCCGTCCATCCCCCGCGGTACTGTCTGTAACTTTCAGCAGCTTCTCACGCCGCTATCTGTCACATCCCACAGTCTTTCCTGCTGTGCTTAGGAGCTCCTTTTGTTGTCTTCTGGTGACAAGGTCCTGGTCTGAGATGTAGCTGTCTGCCTCCTACCTTCACAGTGACCTCCGGGGTATACCCCGTCTGTTCTGGTTATGCTTTCCCCTCACGTTTGGTCTGGTGCTGAATAAAAGGCTTGGGGTACTCTGTTCCTTACAGAAAAGAATGAATGTTTTTTTTTTCCTGAGAACAGCAGCAGGGACGGAGATCTTTCCAGAATCCTCTAAAGAATAATAAGTGTCAGTGTCGTGTCTTTTTTAATGCCTCCCTCTTTCCCCTAGGATAGCAGACTTGCGGATTCTCTTCCAGGCTTTGTGTTTCTGATACTTTAGCAAGCCTCTAACTCACAGGACAGTGGTGAAGGAATATGCAGCCTGCTCGAAACTACACTGCCTTGGCGGCTTTCCTTAGCTGACTTGGCTCACACAACTTGAGTTTTCTGTCGCGTTACGCTGTCTTTTGTCTTCCTGACTTACTTTCCTGTTTCACGCTGAGCGCTGGGAGGTTATGCAGGCCTTTGATTTTTGTTGCCCATCCATGATCCTCCAAAAAGAGTATCAGGCTACTGCTGTCAGGGAGAATTGGCCTGTTTAAAGATTTTTCTCAAAGTCTGAGGGCAGGGCCCTTTCACCTGCAAGCCACTGGGGCAACAGCCCCAGCAAGTGCAGGATGCACATCGGGGAGAAAGGGTCCCATGTCAGTGAAATACAGTCCTGCCACCGGGGAAGTAGAAGGGGCTCCTGCATCCATCCCGTAGGTCCCGGCAGCTGCTGGTTGGCCGAGGCAGCAGGGTGGCTTCTGGCTAACCATCACACCAGTGAACTGCCAGGGAGTGCTCCTCCCAAAGCTGTGCCAGGGAGGCTGGAAATGAGCTGTGAATGATTCAGTGGATAGGAAGGAGATGGACCTGGAAATACTGTGGCTGCTCTTGTTCCCTGGCAGAACCCCTGCCCCTCCAGACACAAGTGTTAGGTGTATACACTCCTTCAGATGCTTTCAATTATATTGTTTATGGGAAAGGACATTGAACAAGCAGTTTCCTACCGCTTTCTGGCAGCCCATATAGGAGGTAGTGGTGCCAAGTGGGCTGTGCTTAGCACAGAAGGTGCCTCTGCAGAGGATAGATGTGCTCCGGCCGCCCTTCCTTTTTAACCAGGTTCCTACTCTGGGCAGTTGCACGGGTGCCTGTGCTCTCCCCTTGCCGTGTTTTGGATGTGTGCGTGCTGGAAGCGAGACAGCTGTTAAGTGCCAAACTCTCTGCTTCCCTCTTCCCTTTCTTCCAGAGCTTTGGCCAACTTGCAGTGACTAAGGAGTCCAAGGCACTGATTGGACTTTACCACGGGCAGGTGCGCTGCAAGAAGAACAAGTTTGGAACGCCGCAGCGAGAGGTCAAGTAAGTGCGAAGCGTGGGATGCCTGGAGGAGCGGTTGGAGGACCTCTGCTAAAAGGCTCTTGGGACCGAGTGGCCTGGAGTCCTGAAAAGCAGCGTTAGCAGAGCACAGAGATTTCCAGCCTCCAGAAGGCTAGTCCTCTGCGGTTTGGAGGTCTTGCCCACCGAGTGAAATCTTCTTGTGTGACCTCGCTAAAAACACTGCCTGCGTGGACAGGATCTGTGCAAGTCTGATGGTGATGATAGAAATTCAGCTATTTCTAGTTTTGAATGTGTTCCCCCCATCCCTTTGCTGTGCAGGACCCTGGCGGTGCTGGGAGCAGGGCTCATGGGAGCTGGGATCGCACAGGTTTCCGTGGATAAGGGACTGAAGACCATTCTGAAGGACACAGCACAGCAAGGCTTGGACAGAGGACAGCAGCAGGTCTTCAAGGGGTACGTGAGTTAAAAGGAATTTGCTTGAGATGGGCTGGGGCTTCCTTTAGTCAAAATACGCCTCTGCTTTTAGGCAGTCAGGAACCCCTGACACCTCTGTTCCTCTGGAGTCTTCTACCATCAGATGTCACAGAAATGCTTTCTTTTAAGGTTGCCCTATGCAGTGTGCTGGGACATTGCTACGAAATAGGCCCAGTGTATTCAGCCTTAGCTCCTTAGGTAGGTAGACGACATAACAGATGATTGCTTTAGCTTTTAGATTTAGCAGTAGCTTATAGAGCTAAGGGGGGAGGGAGTAATCCTGGCTGCCTAGAGGTATTGGGTCAGCCTTCTGAAAAGCTGGATTTCTTTCCCCTGTCCTCCTGGCTCAGCAGTAATGGTGCTCAGCTATGCATCGTCAGGAATGTCAGTGACTGACCTTCAGATTCACGTGCCAGCTGAGTTGTGTGAGCATGGCTCTCCTTTTTCCAGCTGGAAGGAGGGGCCAGTAGGCAGAGTGATACTCTTGCTAGATTGGAGATGGTGTTTTGGGCCCCAGCTCCAGGAGGGCGGGATGCCCTTGGTGGTGTGGTGCACCTCTAGCAGTCTGGGCTGGCCTGCCCAGGAGCTGAGACAGAGCTGTCCTTTCCTAGGCTGAACAGCAAGGTGAAGAAGAAGAGTCTGACGTCGTTTGAGAGGGACTCCATTCTCAGCAACCTGACGGGCCAGCTGGACTACAAGGGCTTTGAGAAGGCGGACATGGTGATCGAGGCTGTGTTCGAGGACATTAACATCAAGCACAAAGTGCTGAAGGAAGTGGAGGCCGTGAGTATCAGTTCGGAGCAGCTTGTGCTAGATGTGACCCCTGGACAGTGGAGACCCAGGGTGTCCTGTCTTCTGCTGCTGGGTTTGTCGCATCTCCTTTGCGCTGCAGTTTGGTGCTCAGTGCAAGTTATTTGTGTCAGTACATGGGTGAGTGTCAAGGGCAGCCTCCCTGTTCACCAAGGATATTCACTGTTCAATAAGGAGTCGCTAGTTCTTAGCTGAACGGGGCAGTTCTGACATTCCCCAACTCCTGGGAGCTGCTCCAAAAAAAACATTGGTATGACAGTAATGTCTTTTGGTATCTCCACAACTTAGAGTTCTTCACTTACTATCTCTAGCTTGCTGCCACTGCTCTCTTCTGTTTAAGAGCACGCTTGGGCAGGTAACTGTATGGTAAAGGAGCTGGTCTGTGCCCCTTTCTGAAGTCCCTCCCTGCAGTGTCCCAATGTAGTTGCAATGGTGTGGCAGAAACTTGGGGGCTCTGAGATTAATGTTGCAGACCTGGGGAGAGCTCAGGGGAAGTCAGATCCGGATGACTTGGGCTGCTGCTTTAGAATTAGTTTCTAATGCGGTCTGCCCTGACAGAGAAAATCAAGTTTGCCTTGTTAGGGTTACCAGGTGTGCTGGTACTGTCCTGTCACATCGTGTTCTGGATCTGACTCTGGAGCCTGTGCATTTACACTGTCTCTTCCACCCCCTGCCACAGGTGATCCCCGCTCACTGTATCTTCGCCAGTAACACGTCTGCCCTCCCAATCAGCCAAATTGCTGCTGTTAGCAAGAGGCCAGAAAAGGTGAGTACCCGGTGCCACGTGCCTGCTATGGGCTGAGCTGCCTGTTAGCAGCGAACTGGCTTTGCTGTAGGTGAGCACTGGGATCTTCTGCTTCCTCCTCAGAACATGAAACAGCTCATCCTCTGCCCCCAGTGCAGGCTATGAACAAAAGAACTTGTGGTCCTTGGACAGGTAGGAAGGGGATGAAGGTGGACTCGCCCCCAGTGCGGTGTTGGCAAGGCAGGGTGCAGCAAGGGAGGGCAACACACTTCAGGGAACGTTAATGCACATGGGGGCAGAGAAGCTATGGAAAGGCTCAAGCCGAGAGAGTTCCAGCCAGGAAGACTTTGGTCATTTTGATAAACTGATTAGATGTAGGAGCGACTTGCCACGATGGGAAAATACCTTCTCAGGGAGAAGGCACTAACCTAGCAGAAAAAAGGGAAGAAAAGTCAGTGGCCAGAAGCTGAACTCGGAGGTGCTGAAACAGAAGCCTTGGTCAGCCACAGGATCAGCTCCTGAGGGAGTGGTGGGGGTTTCTCTCTGGCTCCAAATGATCCATGTGGACAGGATTCCAAGAGTAACATAGCAGGTTGTGGCAGAGGTTTGGAGCAGAGGACTTCTTCATCCCTTTGCTTGAAGTCTAAACAGCTTATCAAATAGCTGTACCCTCATCCCTTAGCCCAGGCGAGCACAGCTGGGTAGGAGCACCAGCTGATGTGGAGCGGCCTGCCCTGGGGGACGTGCTTGGTGGAGTTACCGTCTGAGGGGTGTGAATATGCTGGATTGGGAGGAGCCGGCTGCGTGCTTGTTTTTCATTGCCGTCCGTGACTGCCAAGGGTACCTGTGATACCTGCTAGCCTGAGGCTGGCAGACCTGACGCAGGCCCGACTGGAGACCGAGGGTGCAGCTCCAGGGAGCTGAGCAGACCAGACGTGACACTGCAGCATCTGAAGTAGTAGTTACACAAATGCAAAAGCCCAGGTACCCTTGGCTGGTTCCCTAAACTCCGGCAAGGCTCTCGAGTCCTGCCCTGGTCAGTACGTTGCCTCTGCTCCTTGTCTGCAGAAGTTCTGTGGGCATCTGCAAAGGTCGTTGGGTAACGATGTGTGTCCCCCCCGTCGGAGGTTCCTGTGACCTTTGTGAGCCTCTTCCTCGGTTCGCTGTCAGACCCTGGTTGCATCGGAAATGCAAACCGAGTCTTACTTGTTCATACTTGCAAATAACATCCTCTTGCTGAATAAATTGCCTGTGTAATGGCTCTTTATGGGGAAACTAATAGGAAATCGGTTAACTAATTGGCGTATTTTCTTTAATTAGTTCTGCAGTCTGCAACTCTCCTGCAAGGCGCCTCTGACTTACACAGTTCTTAGTGCCAAGTGTGGCTTCCAGGAGGCATGAAGGTGACATGCTGATTACATGGTTGTGTTAAGAAAGTGAGGCACACAGCCGAATAATCTCCACTTGAATGCTCTTCCCAGAGGAAGGCTGCACTTACCTCTGTAATTAGTTTCTGGAAATGTGCCTTCTCATCCTTAAATTCACTTCATCACCGAAAAAAAAAGGGGAGAAAAAAAAAAACCACCACATTCACAAGCAGAATGCAGGGACTCTGCTCAACATCTCTTTCTGTGACGGTTGTCCCACTCTCCAAGTCCAGCAGAAGCACCACCGAGGCGCGCGGCTGCCCTGCAGCTCAGAGTGATCGATCACTATCTATCGACCCTGCAGATCACGCAGTGCCCGTGATTCGCCTGGGGACTGAGCTCGGCTAAGACTCACAGACAGGTTTTGCTGCCAGACTGTTAACAAGTACAGAGAGCAGCAGTCTTGGTCCTGTAAGCGTTATACCTAAATCCTCACTGAGACCAGAGCTGTGAGGCGTGTGCTATGTCCTGGGGAGAGCCACGGAGAGAAAGGGAGTGGGAGAGCCCTCCCGTCAGAGGGGGATGCAGAGGAGTGGGTGGCTGAAGGGCTAGCGTGCTGTGGAGGTGGGTCCTGCAGCCCATGCTGGCCTGCTTCCCTCTGCAGCTGGGCACTTGACTTGCCCGGCAGATTACTTTGAGAGCCAAAGTCTGTCTTAACCGTCCTTAACCCTGAGCGCTTCCTTCTACCTAGGTGATCGGGATGCACTACTTCTCCCCTGTTGACAAAATGCAGCTGCTGGAAATAATCACCACGGACAAAACATCCCAGGACACGGCTGCCTCCGCTGTTGCTGTTGGCCTCAAACAGGGCAAGGTCGTCATCGTGGTAAAGGTGAGGGAATCTGCACAAAACGGCAGCTGGGGTGATAAATAAAAGGGCAGGCTTGTGCACTGACAGGAGGCTGAAACGTGGCCATGAATAGGCTGGCATTAGCTACTCACCCTGAGAAGTGAAAATGGAAATTAGAAGGCAGTAAGTGCCCAGGTGATCTCTCAGATGTCCTTTGGAGCAGCCGTGGAAGGCCACAAGGCACAGGAACAGTCTGACCGGCCAGCACGAGGAGGTGGCAGTCCTGTTCCACACAACGTCCAGGCAGCTGAAACCCATAGTGGCATCCGAGATGGAGCACAGTCTGGGCAGGACTCTTGCCACCTCTTCTCCCTGGCAAGCTGCAAGGACAGAGGGGCCTGTGGGCAGTAACCCTCCTCCTTCTGGATTTAAATCTCATGTGAGAGGGGGCAGAAATACGCATGCAAGTCATACCAAGCAGAGGGAGAAGACAGCGCAGCACAGCGAGGCAGGAGTTTAGAACAAACCGCTGTGACTTATAGGAAGAGGTGGCAGAGCCTCCAAAAAGCCATGGGCCTTGAGTGGTTTGTTAGGCTGACGGCTGCTCCGCAAACGGAGCTGGTCTCGTGCTCTGTGGTAGAAAGCAGCAGTGATGCTGTGTGGGAGGGTTCAGCCGGCAGGCTCAGGGCTGTTTGGGGAGTGTATTTTTGGATTGGCCTTTTCACTGATGTGTGAGGTTGCCAGCAGCGCTGAGCAGGTCCCTCCTGCGGTGCTGGGAACACTGGCGTGTCTCAGAGTGCTCTGGGCATCTCTGAAGGCCGGTGGGGATACAGTGCTGCTTCTCTAACCCTCATCCCCACAGCAGAGGCTTCCCTGAATGGCAGCTTGCAGCTCACAGAATCCCAGCATGGCCGGGGCTGGCAGGGCCCTCCAGAGCTCACCCAGTGCCACCCCCCTGCCCAAGCAGGCTCACCCAGAGCAGGGGGCACAGGACAGCGTCCAGGCGGGGGTTGAAGATCTCCAGAGAAGGAGACTCCACAGCCCCCCTGGGCAGCCTGGGCCAGGGCTCGGGCACCCTCACAGTCAACAAGTTCTTCCTCCCGTTCAACTGGAACCTCTTCTGCTTCAGGTTGTGCCCATGGCCCCTTGGCCTGGCGCTGGGCACCACTGGGAAGAGTCTGGCTCCGTCCTCGTGACCCCCACCCTTGAGATATTTGTAGGTGGTGATGAGATCCCCTCTCAGCCTTCTCTTCTTCAGGCTAAAACTTCAGCTCATCTCTTGCTTCCTGTCTTTGCAAGCGATATCAGAGGTGAAACAACTGGCTCACGCCTGTTTCACTTGCGCTGAGCAGCCTTTCCCCCGTCAGCCTGTTGGGTTTGGTGAAGCAAGGGGGCTTCTGCAGCCTGCTTGGGACCTCCAGGCACTATTTCAGATAAAAACACTCTGGTGGGAGCTTCCAGGGAGTAAGTTCATGGAAGTCTTAAAACACTGCTGAGCCCTACAGGAAAAAACTATGCTAGCAGTTGATAACATACTGTTAGAAATGGAGTTCAGTGTGTCTGCCCTGCATGTCAGTGCCTGAACAGCAGCCTGGGCCGTGAAACACAGTTCTTGTGCTGCCGAGAGGGGCCGTGTTCCTGCCGTTCGTACTCACCTGCCTTCCTGCTGCACTCCTCTTCCCTAGGACGGGCCTGGCTTCTACACCACCAGGTGCCTGGGGCCGATGCTGGCAGAAGTGGTCCGAGTTCTCCAGGTGTGTATCCCATCAGCTACCAAGCTCCTGCCAAATAGTCGTGTAAACTCTGCTTCGTCCTTGCCCCCGATCAGGCTGACCCCAGCCCTGGCCAAGAAGGGAGGTGGGTAACCAGCCCCGGTGCCTGTGGTTGTCCCCAGCCTGCTCCTGGCTGAGCTGTGGTCTGGTGAGACCTGATGCAGGCAGTGATGAGGCTCTTTGCTCCCCGCATGGCACCAGGGGAGAGTCAGGAGTGGTGCAAACACGATTACACTACTCCTGTCTGTGATCAAACAGCTAATGGGGCCGGCTGCAGCCCATGGCCCCAGCTGAGCGAGGGCTCTGCCCCCACGCTGGTTTTCCAGGACCCTCACCCAAAGATACCATTGCTTCCCCTTCGATTCCTGCAGGAGGGCATTGACCCGAAGAAAATAGATGCCATTTCTACGGCCTTCGGCTTTCCTGTGGGTGCTGCCACGCTGATCGACGAGGTGGGTGTGGACGTGGCCGCGCACGTGGCTGAGGACCTTGGCAAGGCCTTTGGCGAGCGCTTTGGAGGAGGCAGCATCGAGTTGTTCAAGCTCATGGTGGAAAAAGGCTTCTTAGGTGAGACGCTCAGCTGTTTTAATCAAACATGTTTCCCCTTTGTTCAAGGAAAAGTGCTAGCATCCATCAGCCTCAGGTGAGAGCTATCAGAACAGCCCTGGGAACGGGTCGGGAATCCCTGTCTGTACCCTGGGTAGACCTTTGGCTGTGGCCAGGCCTTCCTTTGCACGAATGGCAGCAGCAGCAGGAGGCAAAGATGTTGCCCAGAGCAAAAGCAGCAGGCAAGATCTCATGAACCTGTCTGGCCCCTTTGTGAACCCTGCACAAGCGCTCTGGGACATGGGGAGCTGGAAATAAATGCGTTCACATGAAGCAAGCCCTGCGCTGAGGTTTAGAAGCTCTGTGCAAGGAAAGGTTATGGCTCTGTCTGCGTGGCAGCAGCCAGGCC